AGAAGAGGATTTTATTAACTTTCTGCAACTATTACAAGCACTCAAAATTGTATCTCACTTTGAGCTCTCACAGAAATCTAGCAATTTACAATGATGGGGGTATGAGTCTATTTATACTTGAGGGATCAAACCTAAAACCCTAATGAGCCAACCCCATTGGCCCATAGGCCCATGAATGGTGACGACCAATCATATTCCGCCATGCAACATCTTCTAGAACATTCTTCCATCTTGAGCATCATAGAGGACTTCATAGCATACTTTGCTCATCAAGGACCAAGATGGTCCATCTTGCGCCATCATGACGCAACAGGAATATGGACGACGCAAGTGGCTTCAAGTGTGGTACAAGAACTTCTAAGTTAGAGCAACATCACCATCTTGGCACAACAACATCATGCATGGCGCAACAAGGCGATGCTTGGCGCAAGAGAGATACCCCATGGTGCAAGAGGGAGTAGATTTGGCGCAAGAAGGAGTGCCTTTGGCGCAACAACAACATCCTTCTTGGCCCAACCCTTCAACAGATTGCGCAACAAGGTTCCCTTGTTGCTCCATATCACTCCAAAGTGCTCCAAGCCTCTTCTAGGTGCTCCAAACCCCCTTCTACATGATCTGTTCCTTTGGCACTTGATTTGCTCCTTTGTCATACGATCCATTCCTTTCTCAGATGATCCATTCCTTTGTCACATGCTCCATGAACCCCAAGTGCTCCATTGTGATCTAAGTGTTCCATGTTGGATAAGACTTCATACCCCAACAACTCCCACTTGAAGGCTTGAACAACTTCATCTGCCATTCAAGTTTCACAATTCCTTAAAGTACTCTCTCTCTCTCTCTCTCTCTCTCTGCCAAGCCCTTCTCTTCAAACTTCTGAAAGGTCAGTTGAATCCATGCAAAGCTTCAACTTCTCAGTGGTAACCACCTTGGTGAACAAATCAGCTGGATTCTTCGTTCCAAGGATTTTCTTCAAGTTTAGAGTTCCTTCATTGATTAAACCTCGAATAAAATGGTATCTAATCTGAATGTGTTTCGTTCTACTGTGAAACACTGGATTAATTTGCTAAGTGAACTTCACTTTGGTTGTTACAATACAGTACACAATCCTCCTACTGCATTCCAAGTTCTGATAAGAAACTCTTCAGCCATATAAGCTCTTTGGTAGCTTCTGCAGGTGCCATGTATTCTGCTTCTGTGGTTGAAAGAGCAACACTCTTTTGTAATCTTGACATCCAGTTAATTACTATACATCCAATTGTGAACACATAAACCGTTGTGCTATTGCCTAAATATGCACATCCACCTAAGTCTGCATCACCGACCCTTCTAAAACTACTCCTTTTCTTATGAAATATAAGGAACACTCAACTATTCCTTTTAAGTAGCGTAGCAACCATTTCATTCCTTCCCAATGTTGTCTTCCTGGATTTGACACGAATCTGCTCATAACTCCCACTGCATGCGTAATGTTTGGTCTGGTGCAAACCAGTGCATACATTAAACTACCAACTATAGATACGTATGAAACTTTAGCCATGTATTCTCTGTCTTCTTCCGTTTTTGGGGATTGCTTCTTGGTAAGTCTCAACTGACTCCCCAAAGGTGTACTTCTGGCTTTTGCATCTGCCATGATGAACTTTTCTAAAACTTTCTTGATGTACTTGGCTTGCGAAAGTTTTAGTGTACCGGTAACTCTGTCCCTGGCTATGCTCATGCCCAATATTTGTTTAGCATCCCTTCAGTCCTTTATCTCGAACTCATTGGCTAGCTGCTTGTTTAGCTTGTTGATCTCCTACATGTCGGATCCAACAATCAACATGTCATCAACATATAACAATAGGATGATATAAGAGGACTTGAATTTCTTCAAATAACAACAGTGATCCATCTTACATCTGTTGTACCCCTTCCTCTGCATGAAGCTATCAAACTTCAAGTACCACTGCCTTGGAGCCTACTTCAAACCATACAAACTTTTCTTTAGTTTTCACACTAGATTTTCCTTGCCAACTCAGGTTCGCCATTATCTTTCAGAAACAAGAAGTTTGCTGAAGGAGAATACCTGACCAGAGGCCTTCGTACTCTAGTGGATCTACGGATGGTAGGAGTTTCAGTTTCTACACCTTCATTCTCTAAACTACTATCATATATGCTCCCACTATCTTTAGTTTCATCAGAGCTCCCACTGCTTCCTACACTTTCACCTACCTCTGGAGTACTGACATGTTTTATAATGTCGTCTTCTGAAGTTTCTTCTAAATCAACTTGTTCTTATTTTCTGGTTGTTTTTTTACTGCTTGAGCCCTTAGCAAGTTCATCCTTGTATAGCGCATTCTCATTGAAAACCATATCCCGACATCTGATAACCTTTTATGATCGTTGTCCCAAAAGAGGTAACCCATGTTGTCCAACCCATAGCCTATAAAGGTGAACTCCCTTGACTTTGCCTCGGTTGTCTCTCTCAGAGTCTTTGACTTTTATATACGAGACACAACCGAAGACCTTAATCTATTTGAATGAAACCTCATGACCTTTCCATTCTTCCTATGGAATCTTGAACCCTATGGGCACGGAGGGTCCTCTATTGATTAGGTATGTAGCTGTGTTGACCGCATCTGCCCAAAACATCTTGGGCAAACCTGCATGTAGTCTCATGCTCTTCGCCATTTCATTTAATGTTTTGTTCATCCTCCCATCTACTTCATTCTGTTGAGGTGTTTCTGGAACGGTCTTTTTCATCCTGATTCCATGTTCAATACAGAAATCAATGAATTCTTTGCTACTGTATTCGCCCCATTATCGGATCTGAAAAAACTTGATTTTCAAGTTAGTTTCATTTTCTACCATCGCTTTCCATTTCTTGAAATCACTGAAAACTTCAGGCTTCTGCTTCAAGAAATAAACCCAAACTTTCCTAGTGCAGTCATCGATGAAAGTAACATAATATCGGGATCCTCCCACTGAAGAAACTGAAGTAGGGCCATAAACATCTGAATGAACAAGCTCTAATTTCCCTGTCTAGCGTGGATGTCCCATCTTCGTGGAAGTAACTTTCTTATGTTTGCCAAAAACATATGGATCACAGAAATCCACTATCACGTTCTTCAGATCTGGAATTCTTCCTTTGGAGGCAAGCATCTTCATTCCTTTTTCACTCATATGCCTAAGTCTTTGGTGCCATAGAGTGGATGCCCCAACTTCTTCAATAACATGTACCTCATCATTAGAAACTTCCACCATGTAAAGTGTACCCCGCTTCTGACCTCTAGCAACCACCAAGTTTCCCTTTGTCACCTTCCAGTGATGATCACCAAAAGAGACATGGTGACCTTCATCATCAAGTTGCCCCATTGATATCAACATTCTTTTCAAGTCTGGAATGAACTTGACATTCTTCAAAGTCCACTTCGTACCTAAGGTAGTCTTGAGGACCACATCCCCAATAGCTGTAATATCAAGGCTCTTGTTGTCTTCCAGTCTGACCTTCCCTTGGTACTGCCTAAAAATTCTTCATTATATCTTTGGAATGACTAACATGGAATGATGCACCAGAATCCATGATCCAAGATTCAACTGAGTTTTCAACTGCACAGATAAGAGAATCTCCTTCAGAGTCTGATGCAATGTCCATCTCATTCTTGCCTTTGTCTGCAAGAGGCTTCAGACATTAATTCCTGAAATGAACCTTATCTTTGCATTTACAATAGGTGATGTCCTTCATGTTTTTTGATACACCTCTCTTCCTCGACTTTGATCTTCCTCTACCCCACTCCCTCTGTTGGACTTCCTTCCTCTTTCCTCAGTACTAAGAAGACTGTTAGAGGATTCTCCATCACTTCGTCTGCACACATCCTCGCCAAGGATTAAGTCGTGTATGCCTTTGAATGTTAGCTTGGCACCTCCAGCTGAGCTGCTGACT